AGGAGAGAGCAGCGTTGCATTCCGGTGATTGTGGGGGCCCACGCCACATTCCCCCATGATTGCATGTCGGCATGAGCGAGGGATGCCAACCCCGCTCACCCCCCACCCGGAGGACTCCGCCACCGTTCTTTTGTGCGCCGCGCGCCTGCCACCGCCGCCTCCGTGACTGTTTTGATGTCCTGCGGGTCTCGTTTCATTGTGGAGTTGTGTGGTGTCGCGCGCACAGCCGCTGCCCCGCTCCTCACACAACATGTGGCATGTCCGAGTCGATCTTGATCTCTCTCCTCTCGCTCTTGCTCTCTTATCCTCTCTCTTTGTGTGATGTATCTGTTATCTATCGAAAGGCGGCTGTCCGAGCGGGCCCAAAAGCCCCCCGGCACTTAGACGCGGTCGTCAACGGCGCAGCCGCCTCCCACGCGTTCGTCGCGGGGTCGTACCGCTCCACCGAGCTGAGGTAGCCGTCGTCGTCGTTCAAGCCGCCCACAGCGTACAGCTTGCCGCCGAGCGCCGCCACGGCGTGAGAGTTCCGCGCCGCCACCATCGGCGCCACCGCCTCTCACGCGTTCGTCGCCGGGTCGTACCGCTCCACCGAGCTGAGGAAGCCGTTGTTGTACCCGCCCACAGCGTACAGCTTGCCGTCCAGCACCGCCACGCCGACAATAGCTCGCCCTGCCGCCATCGGCGCCACCGCCTCCCACGCATTTGGCGCGGGGTCGTACCGCTTGACCGAGCTGAGGGTGCCGCAGTGGGGGGGCGCGATCCTTGCTCTTTGCATGGCCGGGACTGACCCCCGTCTACCGGTAGACGGTAGACGGGCCACCCCTCAAAAACAAATCTCTCCCCCTCAACAGTGCTCACCGCGCATCGCACGCACTAAACCAGTGCGCTCATGCTTGGGCCCGCTTGGCGAGGACCAATGCTGCAATGCAGCGATGGATATCTCGCTGCAGGCGCTCGCGGGGCCGTGAGTGAGGGGGTTCCCACTGCTGCCTTTCCCTACTAGGTAGGTAGGTAGAAAGAGGTGAAGAACAGCCAGGCTCGGACTGGACACCAACGCGGTATGGGTGGACGCTAGACAGATGATGACGACACGCACGAGCGACACACAGACACAAACAGGCTCACAAGACACACAGCCAGCTGGCTGCCACACACCCTGAGTTGGCGTACACATAACTCAGGGCCACATTCTTCCTGTCGCCCCCCCCAGCACTCCAAGGTGCCAAGAGAACAAACAAGGGCACAACAAACAACAGACGACAGGAAGTAACATGTGAGACTAGAGCAGCTTGCTCCACCTCTAGCAATCTCGCCGGCCGGCGAGGCACGGACGAGACCGTGTGTGGGGTCTTGTGAGGTGTCTATGGACGCCCTCCTCACAGGCTAGCTGCCTACTGCTAGCCCTATCTCGCACTCACGGGCAGTGACAATTCAATGGGTGAGTGTTTGCGAGCAGAGGCGCGTGGGCTAAATCTAGGCCGCACACGCGTCGTGGCACTATGACGAAGTTAGACGTGCGGCCGCAGCGCGCCCGCCGCAGGCTCGGCGGTGCGCGCGTGTTAGCGAGCAAGTTGCGGGTGGAGCCATGCCCGACTTTTCGAAGGTGAGGCCTCTGCGACGAGTGCCAGCCGCGCTGCGGAGCCACACCCTTCGAGCCGCGTCCCGTCGGCACCGTCCCTGAGTGTGTCCCGCCTTGGCGGCACACACTCTCGACGAGGCAGTCCGGCCTACGGGAACGTGTCGCGCGCCGGCGACGGTTGCGGCGTGGTGGTTTCGAGTACGAAGCGAAGATGGCACGACCACCGCCCTGCATCGCAGACCGGGCAAGGAGGGACCTGATTTATGTGCGCGCACTGCCACTGGCGCTGCCGCTCGGGCTGCCATAAGTTGGCGCTGCCGCTCGGGCTGCCATAAGCTGGCGAGGATTGTGTGTGCGCTGGCAACAACAGACTCGGGCATAGCCCTCGACAGCCCCCCCCCCCCCCCCTATCTATCTCCGTTCTTTATTTCGGGTCAAAAATTGGCCGCCCTCTGCAACCTGCTGTGTGTGGGTCCTGTGAGACCTCGAGGGAACTGTTTGACTGTCGGCGGAGAAGGTGTCTCTCTTGGCACTTCACTGCCATTGTCTTCGTACAATTTATGCTTTGTAACATTGCCTTGGACTACGAAGGATGAAAAATACGTAATGCGTAATGCGTATGCGTGATACGTAAGCGGGGGGGGGGGGGGGGGGCTCGGGGGCGCGCGCGGGGCGAGATACGTAATCCGTAAACGTGACCCGCCGCGCGGGCCATTGCACCGTCCCCCGGGCAAAGCTTGCGGTGAAGAAGACGTATGCGTAATACGTGATACGTCGAAGACGCCCCGCCCCCCCCGGGCCGCGGCGCACCGGCGGAGATCCATAATCCGTATACGTGACACGTGGTACGTATGAGGCAACCACAGGGCCATCGCGCCGTCACGCACGCGATGATTACGTGTATGTATTGACGTTTTCTATTTATTTTTGAAGGGGGAGGCGTTCGACGGGCTGCGTAATGCGACGCATTTGGACTGGCAAGTGACGTACACGCACCGAGTTTACGTATTCCCGAGAGGGGGCGTAATGTGATGCGTATGCATATGGGCCTCCTTGCATATGCGTAGCAGTACGGCTCACGATTGGTGTTTGTGTGTGTGTGTGTGTGTGTGTGTGTTTGCCTGATGGCAGGGAAGTGCAAGGCAGCGGCGAGCGGCAGGTGGCGTCGGCGACGTACTCAGGACACGATGGTGAAGCCCACAGCGCAGGAGTCCCGCAGCAGCGCCGACCGCGGCCTCGGGCCTCGCGCCGCGTCGGCGGCGGTCTGAGCGAGGCAGCCTGTACTCCTCAACCTCCTTGGCACTCCCCCGACGAGCGGCGCGCTATGCGGCGACGCGGGCGGCGAGCCGACGTGCGTGCCGCAATCATAGGCAGCGCTGGCGAAGCGAGGCGGTCGGCGCAGGCCCCCGGATGCGGTCGCAGCGAGATAAGCGAGACAGCAGAAGCTGGAAGGGAAGAGACAGCAGATGCAGATGTTGGAAGGGTGGGGAGCAGCCTGCCGTCGAGCGGCGCGCTGCGCAAGGCCGCTGTCGGCGGCCCGATCGGAGAGCTGGTAGTCGAATCCCTACTGGTGGGCTAAAAAGAGATATTGAGTTACGTCATCACGAGGGCGAAGTCTCGCCTTGATCGCCTTGCGTCAGCATGCTTTCACGCCTGGGCTCCCGCTCGCCGCTGCTCACCTCCACGCGCCGACTCTGCGCGCCGGCGCTGCCCAAGGGCGTCCTCACCACCCACTACAAGAAGATTGACCGCGCGACCGACGAGCGGTGGCAGGATATCGACATGGAGCGGTTTGCGGACGAGACGGACCTGCTGATCGTGGGCGGCGGGCCGGCGGGCCTGTCCGCCGCGATCCGCTTCAAGCAGCTCTGCAACGAGGCCGGCCTTGACTACCGCGTCACGCTGCTCGAGAAGGCGGCAGGCGCGGGCGAGCACACGCTCTCGGGCGCGGTGCTTGAGCCGCGCGCGCTGGAGGAGCTCTTCCCGGACTGGGAGGAGCGCGGCGCGCCGCTCAAGACGCCGGTGACGTCCGAGCGGCTCGGCTACATTCCCCCGTGGTTCCCCAGCCTCAACCTCCCGCTGCCGATCATGTCTGGCACGCCGACCGACAACCACGGCAACTACATCGTGCGCCTGGGCGACGACTCCGCGGCGCGCTCGACGAGCTCAACCTCTTCACACTCCAGCTGTGAACAGGTGCGGCTCGGCAACTTCACCGCGTGGCTGGCGGAGCAGGCGGAGGAGCTCGGCGTCGAGATATACACCGGACAGGGCGGCGTCGAGGTCCTGTACAACGACACGGACGAGGCAAGCCGCGTCGAGACCGAGGTCGCAAAAAAAAAACTGGCGCTCACGGCGGCGCGCTGTGGACAGGTGGTCGGTGTGGCGACCAACGACGTGGGCGTGGCGAAGGACGGCGCGCCAAAGGACTCGTTTGAGCGAGGGATGGAGCTGCGCGCAAAGGCGACGCTCTTTGCGGAGGGCTGCCGCGGCTCGCTCACACAGGTGTGCAACGGCAGGTGTGAACAGCGTCTCTTCACACCTCTTGCTGTGAACAGGCTCGCTCACCAAGGAGGTCATCGACAAGTTCAGCCTCGCCGCGGGCAGACAGCCGCAGAGGAAGAGAAGTACCGCTGCCGCAGGTCCAATCGACGCTGCCCTTCTGTGTCTCAGGCTCCGAGCCGCAGACGTACGGCCTCGGCCTCAAGGAGCTCTGGCGCATCTCTCCTGAGAAGCACAGGCCGGGGCACGTCGACCACACCGCCGGATGGCCGGCAGACAACAACACGTGCGGCCGCTCGTCTCTCTCGTACGGCCGGACTCCTGTTGGCGGATCCGTGCCTTTCCTTTTCTAGGTGGGGCGGCTCGTTCCTGCCGGCCTACACTTCTGTTTGGCCGACGGAGATTTCTTTTTTCTCTAGGTGGGGCGGCTCGTTCCTGTACCACCTCGATCCGTCCGAGGGCGACGGAGACACGCTCGTCATCACAGGGTGGCTGCGTGTAGCAGCCAGCAGCAGCAGCAGCAGTAGTAATAGCAGCAGCAGCAGCAGCAGCAGCAGCAGCGGTCGCAGCAGCAAAAGCTACCACACACGCGCACGCCGCGGCACCCGAACCCACCCTCCCCTACCCCCACGGCACCCGAACCCAAAGGTACGTCGTCGCGCTCGACTACTCCAACCCGTACCTCAACCCCTTCAAGATGTTCCAGCAGTGGAAGACGCACCCGTCCATCCGGCCGACCTTCGAGGGGGGGGAGAGGCTGGCATGCGCCACCCTAGATGCGGCCGCATGGTACACTCCACCCAGCGCTCGAGAGGACACGTACTCCGCTGTGCTCGGCCGTCTTCGGCCGTCTTCAGCCGTCTTCGGCTGTATTCGTCGCCCCTCGTCTCCACGCGGCGCTCTGAAGACTCTGCCTATGCCGTCGTCCCTGAGCCGAATCTCTCTCTCTCTCTGTCTCCACGACGCAGGCCTACGGCGCGCGCGCGCTGAACGAGGGCGGCTTCCAGAGCATCCCCAAGCTCACCTTCCCTGGCGGCGCTCTTGTGGGCTGCGCCGCCGGCTTCCTCAACGCGCCTACGATGGAGACGCGGCCGGGAGAAAAAAGAAATCTTGCCACGCGTACTCGGATTTCTTTTTTTAGGTGCCCAAGATCAAGGGGACGCACACTGCGATGAAGTCGGGCATGCTGGCGGCCGAGAGCGCCTTCAGCGCGATGCAGGCGCTGCCGGAGCCCACACCATATCTCCCCACATCTCCCCGCATCTCCCCCGCATCTCCCCACATCTCCCCACATCTCCCCACATCTCGCGATGCAGGCGCTGCCGGAGCCCGCCGAGGCCGAGGAGGCGGCGGAGGAGGAGGAGGAGATGCCCCCCCCCTTCACCGGTCCGGTGGCGGACCTGGGCCCGTACCAGTCTAATTATTAGTCTAATTAGTGATTAATTAATTAATAAGGCCCGGTGGCGGACCTGGGCCCGTACCAGTCGGCGCTGGAGGGGTCGTGGGTGTACGAGGAGCTGCACTCGGTGAGATCACACGAGATCACACGAGATCACACGAGATCACACGAGATGTGGGGAGATGTGGGTCGTGGGTGTACGAGGAGCTGCACTCGGTGAGATCACACGAGATCACACGAGATCACACGAGATCACACGAGATGTGGGGAGATGTGGGGGGATGTGGGGGGATATGGGTACACGAGATCATAACCTGAGATCACACGAGATCGCACCACTAGACAAGTTCAGACAACACAACGTAGCAAACACAGCATAAGCGCTCACAACCAAGGGCGCGTGCACCAGACACCATCGCAGACAGTACCAGACATCCGGACACACCAAACGTAGGTGCGCAACGTGCGTCCGGCCGCGCACGCGACGCCGCTGGGCATGTGGGGCACCTTCCTGTACGCGGGCGTCGTGCACTACGTCACGCGAGGCCGAGAGTGGTTCACTCTCTCGCACTCTCCATGGCCAAGCATTACTTATGAATGATGAATTGACTACCAGGCCGAGAGTGGTTCACTCTCTCGCACTCTCCATGGCCAAGCATTACTTATGAATGATGAATTGATTATCAGGCCGAGAGTGGTTCACTCTCTCGCACTCTCCATGGCCAAGCATTACTTATGAATGATGAATTGATTACCAGGCCGAGAGTGGTTCACTCTCTCGCACGGCGGCGCCGACCACGAGAGGCTCAAGCCGGCCTCCGAGTTCTCGCCCATCGAGTACCCAAAGGCGTGCGCTCTTTGGGAAAGGGGGGTGGGGGGGTGGGGGGTGGGGGGGGTCTCACCCGCCACAACCCTCAGAGTCTCCCATCACCGGCCCTTCCCTTCCCCTTCCCTTCCCTTTCTCCAGCCTCTCGGCCCCCCCCCCCCCCCCTCCCCCCTCCCCCCCCAGCCGGACGGCGAGGTGTCCTTCGACCTCCTCTCTTCGGTAGCGCTCACCGGCACGAACCACGAGGGCAACCAGCCGCCCCACCTGACGCTCAAGGATGACGCGGTGGGGAGACCAGCCCGAGATCAGCCGAGATCAGCCGAGATCAGCCGAGATCGCACCTGGCCCTCAGGGATGGCGCGGTGCGCCGAGAGTGCGCGAGATTACCCGAGATGACACGAGATTGCGCGAGATGACACGAGATTGGCCGGAGCAGGTGCCTGTCGCGCGCAACCTCGCCGTATTCGACGGGCCGGAGCAGCGCTTCTGCCCCGCGGGCGCGCACGCCTAGAAGCGGAAGACAGATGCGGCCGTCTCCTCTCCAACTGGTGCTCGCGAGGGCAGTCGTACTCGACTGTCTTCGGGCGCATTCGTTCAGTCGTACTCACTGTATTCGTACTCACTGTATTCGTACTCACGCGGTGCCCCGCCCACACGGCGCGAGATCGTATCTGCGCCCTGACGCTCTACACACACTGGCACAACCCCAAGAAGAGCCGAGCACAGACAGGCAGCGACGACAGGTCGGAAGGAAGGCAGCACTCGGTCCCAGGAAGGCGAACGCGATCACTCCCACTCACAGGCGTGTACGAGTACTTGGAGGAGGAGGGAGAGCGGCGGCTGCAGATCAACGCGCAGAACTGCAACCACCCGAGGGGATTGTGTGCGGCGCCCGCCCCCTGCCGCGCCTCTTCACAGCTCGTGCCGTGAACAGGCATCCACTGCAAGACGTGCGACATCAAGTGCCCCTCGCAGAACATCGATTGGGTCGTGCCCGAGGGGGGAGGCGGGCCGGCGTACGCTGGCATGTGACCGAGGCGGCCAGGGGGTAGCGCGGAGGCGCATCACGGAGGGCGGGCGGCGGCGGTGGAGTAGGCGGCGGCGGTGCAGGCGGCGCAGGCGCAGGCGCGAGGGAGGGGGTGCTCCGCCAGCGCCGGAGGGTGGAGTTGGGCGATGAGGGGGTCACCACTTGCGACTCCTCCATTCCGCCTCTCTCCACGTCCTCGGGCGCTCGCCGTGTCGCGGGTTGGGCGCTGTGACGTCGTCTGGCCCCCCAAGTACGTTCGTCTCGTGGAGTTTGTGCTTGTCGTTTGTGTATTGAACGTGCCGTTGCCCGAACGGCGCGAACGCGCTTAGAGGACACGTTTCTTTTAGACCGAGGGAGTTTTGTTGTAAATTCTTTGGTCATCTCAAATTGCCCATCTCGACTTGCCCGTTGTCAACATCACTAGGGAGATCTGATTGGCGCCCTGGCGCCTAGGCTGTGTTGTGTGTTGACAACAAGTGGGATCATCTCTGGCTTCCGGAATACCTCCACGAAGCTGCCCCCAGCAGGCGTTTGACCAAAATCCAAATCTCCCTACTCCAGTTGAGGCTGCCCTCGGACCCGAGAAGGTCTTTTCTCGCAGCTGCGAGACATGCTTTCTCGGAGCGGGGCATCGGCAAAACAGAACAGGGCGGAAGGGAGGGGTGACCATACGCGCAGCGCAGGAGGGGTGCCCCTTAGGGGGCACAAAGGTAGCTCAAAGGGGAGTGAACAAGACGCCGCACAGGCGACGTGCACGCTCGCCGCCTGCGCTCGCCGCGTCGCTCCGTGACTTAAATTCTTTTAGACTCTTTTAGACCGGAGGACGGACCTCAGAACCGGGGGCTTCCCGTCTACACAGGCCGGTCGACAAACGGACGTCCCATGACCCGACGCCGCGACGGGCGACGCATAGCGCTATGGCGGACAGTGCGCACGAGGCCGCTGCCAAAGGCCATGTCGATGCGCTCCGCGTCCTCGTCAAGCAGTGCGGCAGCGAGGCGCTGACGGCTGCGGATGCTAACGGCAGCACGCCAGCGCACCGGGCCGCTCTCAACGGCCATGTCGATGTGCTCCGCTTCCTCGCCGAGCAGTGCGGTAGCGAGGCGCTGATGGCTGCGGATGCGAAGGGCAGGACGCCAGCGCACGGGGCCGCTTTCAATGGCCATGTCGATGTGCTCCGCTTCCTCACCGAGCGGTGCGGCAGCGAGGCGCTGACGGCTACACGTGCAGACGGCGCCACGCCAGCGCACGACGCCGCTCGCAGTGGTCAGGTCGACGTGCTCCGCTTCCTCGCCGAGCAGTGCGGTAGCGAGGCGCTGATGGCTGCGGATGCTGAAGGCTACACGCCAGCGCACACCGCCGCTCTCAATGTCCATGTCGACGTGCTCCGCGTCCTCGCCGAGCAGTGCGGTAGCGAGGCGCTGATGGCTGCGGATGCGAAGGGCAGGACGCCAGCGCACGGGGCCGCTTTCAATGGCCATGTCGATGTGCTCCGCTTCCTCACCGAGCGGTGCGGCAGCGAGGCGCTGACGGCTACACGTGCAGACGGCGCCACGCCAGCGCACGACGCCGCTCGCAGTGGTCAGGTCGACGTGCTCCGCTTCCTCGCCGAGCAGTGCGGTAGCGAGGCGCTGATGGCTGCGGATGCTGAAGGCTACACGCCAGCGCACACCGCCGCTCTCAATGTCCATGTCGACGTGCTCCGCTTCCTCGCCGAGCAGTGCGGTAGCGAGGCGCTGATGGCTGCGGATGCGAAGGGCAGGACGCCAGCGCACGGGGCCGCTTTCAATGGCCATGTCGATGTGCTCCGCGTCCTCGCCGAGCAGTGCGGTAGCGAGGCGCTGATGGCTGCGGATGCTGAAGGCTACACGCCAGCGCACACCGCCGCTCTCAATGTCCATGTCGACGTGCTCCGCTTCCTCGCCGAGCAGTGCGGTAGCGAGGCGCTGATGGCTGCGGATGCGTACGGCCGCACGCCAGCGCGACTCGCGATCAATCGCGCCGCTGTCGAAGGCCATATCGACGTGCTCCGCTTCCTCGCCGAGAAGTGCGGTAGCGAGGCGCTGATGGCTGCGGATGCTGAAGGCTACACGCCAGCGCACACCGCCGCTCTCAATGGCCATGTCGACGTGCTCCGCGTCCTCACCGAGCGGTGCGGCAAACAGGCGCTGACGGCTGCGGCTGCGAATGGCGTCACGCCAGCGCACCGGGCCGCTCTCAACGGCCATGTCGATGTGCTCCGCGTCCTCACCGAGCAGTGCGGCAGACAGGCTCTGATGGCTGCGGGTGCGAATGGCCGCACGCCAGCGCACGGGGCCGCTTTCAATGGCCATGTCGACGTGCTCCGCTTCCTCACCGAGCAGTGCGGCAGACAGGCTCTGACGGCTGCGGATGCGAACGGCGGCACGCCAGCTCGACTCGCCGCTCGCGGTAGACACGTCGACGCGCTCCGCTTCCTCGCCGAGCAGTGCGGCAGCGACGTGCTCACTCCAAGTGAAGATGCACAACTGGCATGGGCAATGGCACAGTCGTTGAAAGTTGCCGCCCCTCCGTCTCCGGTAGCATCGGCAAGGCTCGCTCTGTTGCAGCGCCAGCTTGAGGATGCAAACGCCTTGGCGGCCCGGCTAGAAAAGAAGCTCGCTCTGCAGGCGCAACAAACGCACGTGCCAGCAAGCGAAATCGTCCTGGAAGAGCAGATCGGCCGAGGTACCTTTGGCGTTGTGCGCCGCGCACGGTGGCAGGGCGCCGACATCGCGGTCAAGGTGGTTGCGGCTGACACGAGCGCTGCCGAGCGAAAGCGAGCGGCGGGCATGCTCTTGAAGGAGGCAGAAACCTTGGGCCGGGTCCGGCATCCGAATGTGGTACACCTCCTCGGTGTCTGCACTGACTATGGCAGCCCGATGATGCTGCTCCCTCTGGCTACCGGCACTCTGGTCGACGAGTTGGACGCTGCCTCAGCGTCAGGCGTGCCGATGGCTGTCGGCCGAAAGCTCCAGCTCGCCCGCGACATTTGCGCCGGGATGGCGGCGCTGCATTCTCGCGGAATCTTGCACCTCGACCTGAAGCCGGCGAACGTGCTGATCAGCCGCGCTGAAGAGGCGCTCGTCGCCGACTTTGGCTTATCATTGCAGTTGAGGACGACGCTCACTGGGGCTTCTCTCGCTGCGAGCGCCCTCGCAACCGCAGCAGGCGCCCGCGGCACAATGGCTTACAAAGCGCCTGAGCTGTCACGGCCCAAGCGCAAGGGCGGCGCCAACTACGCGAAGCCATGCGACGTCTATTCGTTTGCAATGCTGTTGTGGGAGCTCTTTGCCGGCCATCCACCTTGGGCTGGCAAGCCGGAGATGGAGATTCAGGCAGCGCACATGGATTCATTCTACGGCGAGGAGCCCTTGCGCCCAGATCTCCCGAGCGCCCCTGCCAAGGCGCTTGAGCTGATGGTGGTATCCTGGAGTCAAGACCCGGCCGCTCGGCCAACCTTCGAAGCGCTTGCGTCCGAGCTCGGCGCGCTCGTTGCAGCTCATCCTGTCGTGAGCGACGGAGCCGGATCCTCAGCTGCTGCTGCTGCAGTCGCATCCGAGGCGCTCGCTCGCCGTTTGGCCGAGGCCGAGGCCGAGTTGACCAAGCTTCGGGCCGCTGTCGAGCACGCCACTGCTGGTAAGGCTACGCTGCAGACGCAGCTGCAGATTACGAGCGACGAGGTGGTCGCGCTCCGGCATGACTGCGGCACGGCCGAAGTTGAGCTCGCGCGGCAGCAGGCGCTGCTCAAACGCAGTCAGGTGCATTTTCCTGCGACCTGGAGCTCTCAGTCTGACGACGGTGGCGACCGTGGCAGCATCGACTGGTGGCGATCTGGTCGTTGCCAGGTCTTGGTTGATGCTTCTGGATCAGAGTGGGCAGAGGTTGAGGGCCAGCTGAAGGAGTCGCTCCCGACAGCAGAGCTTGTCCGTCTCGAGCGCGTTGAGGATCGGCTGCTGTGGAGGGACTACTGCTCCAAACGGGATCGGATCAGGCTTACGCGCGGTGGCGATGCGAATGAGCAGAAGATGTGGCACGGGACCTCCGCTCTCGACCCTCACAAGGCACTGGAACACGAGGTTGGCATCGACCCTCGGTTCTCGAGTGCCGCCTTCTACGGGCGAGGAGTTTACCTTGCGGCAAAGGCGCGATACTCCAATGGCGATGAAGACCGCTCGTATGTATTCTACCCTGACTACCCAGGCAAGGAGTTGCGGCAGCTGCTGCTGCTCCGTGCTGCGGTCGGCGTCTCCAAGGACTTTGGAAGCCTCGTCAGCCGTGAGACGCAGAGCTTGACCAAGCCGCCGGAGCAAAGCCCGGGTGTGCTCTTCGACTCCGTGCAAGGCGGACCGCATCGGCCGTCACGCGCTGGAGAGGGCAACTGCGACTCGACGATGGTGGTCATGTATGACTTGACGCAGGCCTACCCGGAGTACATTGTCACCTACAGGGTGCGTGAGATCTCGCCAGGTTGGTTTCGGTGGCGATAGAGCGAGAGCCGCTCCGAGCACATCCGACTGAGGACGACCACAGCCAGACTGTGCCAACAACCAGAGCGCCGCGTTTCGCGGTGTGTTAGTTACTAAAGCCGTAAGATCGTCTCGAGAGTGTCGCGGGGGGTGCGGCTCTATACCCAAACTGGCCACTCTCCGCTGTGCTCGCGTCGCGGCGTCGGGACGGCTGATCCGCGTGACTGAACCGTGATTATGGCTGAAGATGCGTCTCTATGACTATGATGTCCTGCTGACCCAGACTTGCAGACCCAGAGAGATATACTATATACATTGCAGGATAGGACTTAGGAGATTTTTTTGTAGAAGGAGAAACATTCGAGACTACTGACGACCTTGTGACGTAGCCCACACGATCCACGTCCACGAACACCAAGCCGCGACACACCGAGGACGCGTGTCGCAGAATAGGGTTAGGGAATAGCGCGCGCTGGTCACGGCCGCGGAGGTGATAAAGCGCAGGGCGCGGGCGATCGCCGAGATAGGCGCGGGCACACTGCTCTCGCGCGGATCAGAAGACTACGGAGGGGCCTCGGAAGGGCGGGCGGCCTGGCTTAAAACACGTACGGGAAGGACCCAAGCGAAAAGGGGGGCGCGTATACCGGCACAGCCTTGGCAAGGGGGTGGGTGGGGGGGGGGGGGGGGGGGGGACCGGCCCCCCATGCAATCCCCGCGCGGGGCCCGCGCGGCGGCAGCGTCAACGGGGAGGCCCACCCTCCCAGCTTCCCGGGGAGCTCCTCGAGGGACTCGGCCACTTTTCCGATGTGGGGCCTCGACTCCCCGTCGGGGGCCCAACCTGTTGACAAACCGAGGCGGGAAAAAACCCCCTTTACACATCCGGGGGCCGCGCCGGCGCAAGGGGCCCCCACCGGGGGGGAT